AGTGTTAAAGCGTGTTGCTGGTAGGGAAGAAAGTTATGGGCTAGAGTAAAACATCTCTGTTTCTAGTCCTCTGTCTTGGCAATCGGTGACTGGAATTCTCTCTTCATTTAGCACAGAACTTTAGGAGTAATAGAAAGACGCTGTACTCCTAATGTTTGGAAACAATACTCCAGATATACTCTCTATGGGGCTGCCTCCTATATGTTCTCTTCCTGTAACATTCTGGGCCCTCTTCCTCATATTTCTGTTTAAAGTATTCGTTGCCTATCATGCCAGATAAGCTGCAGTCAGGCCAAATCTTAAGCTTGTTTGTTTGACGAGTGGTTTACCTCAGTACGATTTTTGTTAGCGGTGCGTGTAGTGCGGTGGTCGGAAGCGCCCTGTTACATAGATGGGATCGATCCCGGGGCATTTCATTCGTAAGACCGTCCAACAAGACAGCTGGGCGACTTAAAGTGCGCAAACAAGTTAACGATGATGGCGCAGTGATAAGCAACACGGTGTATCGCTCCTTAGTAAGTTCTTTAGTGCTTGTCTTATCTTTCATTGTCGACGATTTTTAATCCATTGCTCGGCTCATATCTCAACGAAAACCTCCTCGAATTATCGCATTGTCTTTGTATATATGTAAGGGGCGCAGTGGTCGGAGGAGCTCTGCAATCCACATGAGATCGATCCCCACACCTCTGGCCCTCCATGCCTTTCCTACCGGGGTCGGAAATTGGTACCATACTTGTCTGGGAGGATAGCAGCACTGGTTCGATACATTGGTAGGCCAGTGAGAGTCATTGTAAATGCCAGATGTGCATTTAATCACCTCCAACGATTCTTAATGAAGTCGAATGCATATGGCGCAACCCTCACGGAATGATCAACACTAAGATCTTTATTTATTTACGACTTTTGGTTAAAAACGCTGAAATCCTTGAGAGCTTAGGTAATTATAACGTGGGTTGATTCATATCTAGGTTGAGATTCGAGAACAATCTTTTCCCGCGGAAGGTAAGTTTTCCGTGTACATAATTGATTGCGCGAAAACGTCTAAATTCGCTTTTCTGCCGCAGTGGACGACGCCTAGTTTTTTATGCAATGTCCACTGTTAGGTGTATGATGCTCACATCGGCCACTATGTCTCCTAAGAAATGACTCCTATAAAGGTCACGTAGTGTAGAAGTTAATATGAATGTTGTGTATGCTGGTCCGTATTTGACACTGTGCTTAGAAGTAATAACACTGTCAACCTGAAATCAAAAACCCTCGAATGTTATCGATTCGGCCGCAGCTGGCATTTTTGTCCATGCATAATCAACAAATAAATACGCATTGTGTGTACTGTAGAGACGTTGAGGATTACATCCGCTTAACCTTCCGCGTAATTCCATGTGTTAATTTCATTCGCCCGGCACTTTGTATCACTTCGCACTCTATGAGTCTTGTAAGTCATCGAATCAAAACTCACGTCGTCTATACATCACCCTCTTTTTAAATGAATCACGAATTCGACAGTTGTGGTGATTAAGCCGCTAAAACCTATCCATCCCTCCATTCTTGTTTCGAGAACAGCTTATAAATACCCGTTTCCTACAGTATCGTCGTTCACAATGGTCAACTAGAAATCCCTAGAATTGGAACATTATGCGACACTTCGAATCCAACTGAGGTTCCGGGTTTTGCTCATATCTCGGCATCCTTATGATTGTGTTCCACGTCGTACCCTGACATGAAAAAGTGATAAAAGGATAAAGGATAAAGCTCTCGGCGTTGATTAATCCCTTAGGGATGCGCCATGCATTCAACATCATTAAGCATCGTTCGAGGGTGATTGAATGCATCTGGCCTTCGAAATGAATCGTGATGGCCTATCGATGTATCGAGCCAGTGCTGCTATCCTCCTAGACAAGTCTGGCACAGTTTGCCGACTACGGAGGCATGAGAAGCTTGGTGGATCAGGGTCGACCCCATGTATATTACAGGGCGCTGCCACTCATTGCGCCCCATACGCCACACCCTAAGATAGAAAGGCAGTAAGTAAAAGTTAAACATTGTGATTACTTAAGACTGAATTGGAAAATGTAGAGAAAAACTAAGAAGTTGGTTGGACGAAAAGATGGACACACACGAATTTCATGTTCATTCGTTTCCAGCCTGGCTTTACAACTCAGTACTACTTTCCTTTTCACCTGCTTTTCCTCCTTACATTTTTTGTTTTGGGAGCGGTGGCCTTTCCGTCCGTCTTTGCTGCTCGTAATTATCCATGTGGTCCCTTTCAAGACTCCGCCCTTCGCATACTGACCTGACTTGTGCGCGTCAAATTCTACCATTCCCGCCCAGCGACCCATTTATTACTAGGCTTTCCTTCAAACCAGTTCTTGTAAACTGACGCCTTATGTGAATCTGAGAGTCAGTTGTTTTTCAGCCTGTTCTCGAACGTCTTTAGCATTGCTGTTTCTTGGGAATCTCATGGTGCCATCATCGATCTCATGCGTTCAACACATCTCCCAGTCAAGCCAATATGATCAACATCACCACTGATGTCAATTTCTTCCTTGCTTACCTGGACAGCTTGTCTTCACGAGTAATCGGAACCCACGAGATCTTTTATTCTTTTTTCACTAGTTTTTTCTAGCTTGCTTCTCTTTTGAAACATGAGAGTGTTGTGGAAAAGCTGTACAGGTTTCAACTGCAGTGCGATTGTAGTACTCCTGTTTAGGCGAGATGTCCATCACATATGCGCCATTGCGATTGCTAATGGTCAGTGGGAAGTGTTTGTATAGGAGTTTTCTCTTTCTCAGTTGCTCCATCTGTTTTCGGGTTTTAAAATTCTTAGCGCTAAGGTACTGGCCGGGGCTTACGTTCGAAAGAACGGCACAATTTCGGGGTGCTTAAGGTGATTTGTTAGGGCTCACCCCGATTCGTGGGTTTCTTTGCTATCGATGATCACTAAAGGTGTTGTATAACTGGTATCCGAGATGTGATCGTTCGAAACGGCTTTGTCGGGCGTTCTTCAACAGTGTAGTCGATAAAGTGCTGGCTTCCCCGTCCACCATGGTCGATAGCAATTATTTTACAATCAGAAATTTCAGTCTTAGTTAAAATATTGGTCGATTCGACGTTTGTTTTTGTGCTTTAACTTAACTAATTAATTTGAACTAGGATTCTGTCACAACTGCGGCTAGTCCACTGACGTTGCCTTATTGCTAGGTTTGGCCTACTTATTTGGGCATTCAGCGTTAAGTAGTAAGTAGTTTGTAAACAACCTTGTACACCTCCTAGTCCTGAAGGTTTCGTGAAATTTTGTTTATTTTGTACATTTGCCAATAGTTTCTAGTTGCTTGACAAGCTACTCACTGAGAAGGTATCGCATGTATCACCTGTAGTCCCGTTGATCGTCGAGTGACTCGAGCGGGCGCCAGTAAATCCTTCATTTTTCCCTGTCGCTTACAAGAGGAGCCTGTGGTTGAGCATCATATCTGTCTTCTAGGCTTTTCGTAAAGAACTCTGATAATCGCATCTGTTGTTTTCCTGCACTACATTTGACTTCCCAAGGAATTCACTCACTAGGAAAGTACATCCGAGAAGTACGGCTGGGTAAACTGTTGAACCAGAGAATGCAGTTGTTCCTCTGATGCTTTTGGCGACAAGGTTTTCTAGGTATTCACTGCTTTACAGAAGAAAAACAATTCCATTATTTTCCCCATCACTAGCCTTTTTAGAAGTGTTCCTTGTCGTACTTTTCCAAGAGTCCATTAATTTTCTTTCTATTTAATGAGCTAACGTCATCGGTTCCACCTCGCCAGCCGCACAGACTCACCTCATCGGACCACCATGACGAAAACTCTTCGGTTTCTAGACCTCTGAGTTATTCCAGTTCATTTTTTTACTCTCTAGTCCTCACTGTCTGAGTCTTTTACTCTTCTCTTTATGAGCATTTTCTCTGTATGTTCTCCATTCTTCCAACATTCCGCTGTTTAAACACTTCTTATCTGTTTGTCCACTTCAACAATCTTTTCCTTCTTGCGCCATTTTCCAGGCTTTTTTCAACTCCCCAATTCCTCCTCTCACCCACTTCGTCATCGAAAAACACAAGCAGTTCACATAGGCGATTACCAGTAGGTCACTGTTTGCTTGTATGAAGCTTTTCAGCTTCATTCACAGTGGTGGATATCATGTATGTGACCGACCTCATCCGTAGTGACAATCATTTTTCCGTATCTTGTTTGTTTCTGTAATCCGTTATCCAATTCGGCCATTGTGCATCGTATTCACTTCATTTTTCTGTTTTCTACATTTTGTTTTTTCGAGAATTCTGGATTGATGTCGATGTAAGCGCATAGAAACAACAATACAGATTTCTTCCTTGTTTCAGTCATACCATCTATCCAGCATTTCTCATCGTTCCATACTCTTATTCGTTTGTGAAATAAGCTGTCAGTTTCTCCATTTCATTCGTAGGACCGTCCAACAAGACAGCTGGGCGACTTAAAGTGCGCAAACAAGTTAACGATGATGGCGCAGTGATAAGCAACACGGTGTATCGCTCCTTAGTAAGTTCTTTAGTGCTTGTCTTATCTTTCATTGTCGACGATTTTTAATCCATTGCTCGGTTCATATCTCAACGAAAACCTCCTCGAATTATCGCATTGTCTTTGTATATATGTAAGGGGCGCAGTGGTCGGAGGAGCTCTGCAATGCACATGGGATCGATCCCCACACCTCTGGCCCTCCATGCCTTTCCTACCGGGGTCAGAAATTGGTACCATACTTGTCTGGGAGGATAGCAGCGCTGGCTCGATACATCGGTAGGCCACCACCAGTCATTTTAAAGGCCAGATGTGCATTCAATCACCTCCATCGATGCTTGATGAAGTCGGAGTACATGGCGCATCCTTCAAGGATTGATCAACTCCGAGAGCTTTGCCCTTTATCCTTTATTTTATATACATATATATGTGTTCCAGGTGTTCTACCGCCTTCATACGATCTACTTGACTAGAAAAATCATGTGCAATGGTACACTGTTTGAAAACTACGTTACTGCGTCCACGTTCCGCTCGATTCAGACTAGCTTCTATCAGCTGTGTTTAGCCCTTGACATCGATCCTTCGGATTCGATCAACGTCTATCCAAAGTAAGTCGCTGTATTCTCATAACGAACTCAAGGTCTAAGAGGTCATAGTGCGATGAGAACTTCTTTGGCAGACTTCGATTGCTGGACTATTGGAAAGCTCAGAAGTTATGGAAACTTCTCGACAGAAAATGGGAGCTACCTGTTTACAAGAACCAAAACGCAGGCCGCCTATTGAATGTTTTCGTCATCGGTGCAGGTAGGGTATTTCACTTAGGATTTATTCCGTTCCTGTTTCCGTGCTAATCATGCGGTGCGTTTAGGGCCATGTGGTCTACGATCTGCCATAGAATGCGCTTTGTTGGGATCTCGTGTAGTTTTAGTGGAGCAGCGTGATCGCTTTAGTCGCAACAATGTCTTACACTTATGGGAATTCGTTATCCAGGATCTAAAGTCATTAGGAGCCAAGATTTTCTACCCGAAATTTTGCACCGGTAGCATCGAGCATATCAGTAAGCGTTTATTCTTTTCCGTCATCATCAGGGATATGCTTTGCTGGCGGTATTTCAGGCATACGCCAGTTGCAGTGTATACTTCTCAAAGTCGCATTATGTTTTGGAGTCCAAGTTTATGATTCCGTAACTTTTGTACAGATATTGTTCCCAAAGAACGAGGATAATATTGGTAAGTTCTTTCTCCATCTTCTGCATGCCAACTACTTTTCTGTTGAGGATAGCACTGAAAGTGTTGGATTCAACTATTTTTAAGTGAGCGGATTCCGTGCATGTTTGGAGCCGAAGGGACATATTCTTTCTGAGTATGATATTGATGTGCTCATAGGTGCTGATGGAAAACGAAATACTCTACCAGGCGAGTGAAGGCATCTCTCTCTTTCCCATGACACTGTTGGCTACGATCAGCGCAGATATTCAAATTATGCCACGAAACCGGTTTTATTCATGAGAGTCATACAATCATGTACGGGGATTGTATGGGTTTGATTGAAACTAGCGGTTCGTGCATAAAGTAGTGCGATTCCGTCATAGTTAACATGTTTGTACAATTTGGAAAGGTTTTTTCCGTGGGCGAAAAATGCTTTCCTTCACAGCTGACACGAAGGAGAAAAAAAAGGTACAGCTCTCCACGTTAATGAATCCATCATGGATGCACTATGTATTCGACTTCATTAAGAACCGTTGTAAGTGACTGGTTGCATATCTGGTCTTTATAATGATCGCGGTGGCCTACCGATGTATCGAACCAGTGCTGCTATCCTCCCAGATAAGTTTGGTACCAATTTGGCGACTCCGGAAAGATGGAAGGCTTGCTGGTCCATAGGTGCAGGGATCGATCCCCTACGTATTGCAGGGCGCCTCCGACCACACCCTACACGCACCACTTGTGCCATCATAAAAAAAGAAATTCGAATGTCATTATGTTGTTGGCATGTAATGATGATATTTTAGGATTTCCTCGTGAGGAGATGCGTGGTAAACTGGCGATAGGAATAACAGCTAACTTCATCAATAACAAAACTGCTGCTGAAGAGAGGGTACCTGAAATCAGGTATGAAGATGGCGCTGTCATGAGTATTGTGGCAGCTAGTCAAGTCACTTCTAGTATAAATGGGTAGTTATATGTATTGTTTATACTGACAATTTTAAGCTGAGGTGAGCGGCTTACTTATTGCGGTGATTGAACCAAACAGTGGACTTTAGGTTCATCAAAGTTTCAAAATTCAACAGAAGATGTGCGTTTCGCGTTCATCAGCTTTTTAGGGGTGCACTGTAAATTCGGCTGCGTTATGCGTATAAGGCCTATGAGGCCTATACAATGACTTACGATCGTTCACCGTTGCATCAAGTCAGCGTTGATCATGTTTTTCCGCTGTCGGAATCGAACCAAGGTCCTGTGTGCATTGTAGTGCATCCCTAACCAGTGCGCTAAATGAAACCTCGGGATTTCAAATAGCATAGAATAGATATTACTCATCTTATTGATTTGCAAAGATTCTCTTCTACTTTTGTTTTCAGTGGTGTTGCTTACATTTTCAATCAGACGTTCTTCAAAGAGATGTATGACGAGACTGGGGTAGATTTAGAAAATATAGTTTATTATAAGGTATCTTCTTGCTTTTGAATAGTGTTTGAGGCTTAAAGGATGACTGTATATTTTTAGGATGACACACACTATTTTGTCATGTGTGCTAAGAAACATAGCCTTCTGGACAAGGGTGTTATTCGTAAGGTGTGTAGACCACATTGCCTTGAGTCATCGTGTTGGCATATCTTTCGAACTTCAGGATAATGATGATGTCTCTCAGCTCCTGTCTATTCGAAATATTGATCAGGAGGCGCTGTGTCGATATGCTCGGGCTGCTGCAAATTTCGCTACTAATGGTTTGTCGTGTTCAATTCATGATTTGTAAGCGCTCTGTGTGGTACCCTTGTTGTTCACTCTTATAATGCAACGAAGTTGAGGTTTTTTGCGTACAATTATGTAGACATTAGTATTGCTAAATGAAGGACTCGTATGGTGTGGTGGTGAATGGGTTAGCCCTCACAAAGGGTAATAGCGCGTTCGTTCTCCACCGCAGATTTCAACGGTCCGGGGTTTTGCAAAAATCTTGGCATTATTATGGTTAATCTTACTCATTTTGTGCTAGGTCTATTCCAGGTAAGCTTCCTTTTTTGGAATTTGCTAGAAATTACCGCGGTAATGAGGACATAGCCATGTTCGACTTTACGAGTCTGTACTCATCGAAATGCTCTGTACGCTTGGTGGAACGACTGAACAAATATTTGTTAATGGGCGTTGTTGGTGATTCTTTGCATGAGGTTAGTTCATGTATGTGAATTAAAAGTGGCAGATAGGATGTTTGAGTGGTTGTAGGTGTTTATGATGTTGCAAAGACTTACTTGATTACTTGGATGGTCGATCCTCACTAGTAGTGTGTTTCGCATCAAAATTTCCACTTTTTTTTCGGAGTTTTGCTGGTTTAGCCGTTGTGGTTCACTGGAGACCCGATGTCAGCCTAACCAAAAGCTGCCCCAATTAATCACCACCACAAGCAGTTTCCCTTTGTTGATCAGAGGGAGATTTGCCACCATGCGTGGTATTGGTTCACTCTTGGCTTTTCTTGCTGATTGAAATGCCGAGCCTCTTCTCAACTTTGGAAGCCCAGCTGTGGCGATGAATCTCCGGACTGTACATCGCAGCCCGGCACCCAGGAACACCGCAGCCACGATGAGTAAACCATTGGAAGGTTTTCAAAGAGTACTTATGAAAAAGGATGAATTTCGTATCCGATTAAATTTTCTTATAAGCGAGAACAAAGATTGTTGTAACATTTTGTTTTGCTAGGGTTTAAACACTATTCTTTTATGTCTCCTTAAGTGCTGCAGCTAAAACCGTCTTGTCTAGTCTATGGGAGTAACGAAGTTGTGATAACACCTATAGCATTTGCTTTCACCAAGGTGGTTTGAAGTGTTGAACTACGGTGGGGTTTGACAAAAGTGGAGTCTCAGATGAATGTAGCTTTTTTATAGCCTTTTTGGCCAACCGGATCGGGATGTGCACGTGGTTTTTTGGGTGTTCTTGATACGGCGTGGTTGATTAGAGAGTATGGATTGAACGAAAGAGGTTCGTTTACTCTTCTTATCTGAATGATTCATGATGGACATTTGCTACAGGTCCCCTAGAAATGATTGCTGAGAGAGAAAGCATTTATCGGTTGCTGGCGCAGGTAACGAAAGATAATATGAACAAGGTGACAAGTAAGGTGAGAACTTCTGCTTTAAAATCTTCCGGAAAGTCTGACTTATCTATGTTTTAGTACACTATCGATCCAAAAACACGATATGTATCATTAGAGACAACACTCCAACCTGAAGACGTCGTCCAAATCGTAAGCTCTGACAACCCCAGAGTGGGTAGGTTTCTTCAGTAGTTCTACGGTATTTCTAATATGGATTGGTTTGTGAAGAGCCACTGTGGTGAGACACATTTGTGTGGGTATTCATTGCAGCACCCATTGGACAGCCTTTGAATATGAACAATGCTTGCTCTGTACATGAAAGTTCTACTCTTCGAATATACTCGTTGTGGAAGTTTTGTCACCACACTCTTTCACCTTACAAATTAAAAATGTTTGATATGGACTACTGGTAAGTTAAAAATTTTAATGGTTTTGATGTTTCTACATAAATAAGGACTGTTCTAGTTGGCGAGACGGTCGGTCGCTTGCAGGTTTAGTCGCTAGATTTCGGCCTGAAATACTGGACTATTTTCAAGTTCTAAGTTTGCAGAATATTGATGATAGACTAGAGGTTGTTCTTGTCGTTGAGTAGCTTGTACTTTCCTTATTTTCAAACGCTAATTTACAGGTTATATTCAAGACCGTAGAGCAACGAATGGGAATCAGCGCTCCATGTGCAGCATGTGAATGGGCTAAATTGGAAGTTGAAGCTAAAATTAACTACATAGAAAAGTTGGTGGAGTTGATAAGGTACGAATATCTTGGAAATCATCTGTTGGCAACAGTCCATTACCTGTTTTTTGTCTACCTTCCTTTTCAATATACCTCCGTTTTGCCAGCCTCCATCTCCACGCCATCCCACTAATATTTCCGATTTAGGAAAAGGCTCTTGCAATAAAGATTTTTAGGTGTGACAAGCACCGGTTAAAACTCACACTACTTTCTCCACGGATTCACGTTATTCAAAAGAGGAAGTGTCAGAAAATGGTGTGTCTTAGTCTTATTTTTGTGCAAGATGAGGCTTTGCCTGCCTAGTTTTCTTGAGCATTGGGCTTCCTTGTGTCGCTTATAGGCAGGTGTTGCGTAAAAGATCTTTGACAATTAATTGCTTTAATTTCTGAATGTTTTTATAGGTTCATTCAAACTGCAAGAAATCTGAACCAATTCAGAAACTGGCGGAACATTTGTTAAGTTGTTCAACTTTCACGAATGATCGCGGCCTTCCATCTGTGAATGTAATTCTTAATGTAGTAGTCTCTTTTCCCTTGTGTTTTACTATGCTCCTTTAGGTAGAGCCTTTCCGAGACGTGGTGGAGAAAGAGAAATGCCAACTCGAGAGCGTTGGTTTTCCATCTGAATGGAAAGATGGCACTCCTTCGGCTTCTCTTCAGGATTGTTATAGAACGCTGCTTGAACAGAGTGTTGGTCTACTAGTGTCTTTGCCATTTGATTTAATGTTTTCTAAATTTATGAGTTTTATGAATCTCTCCTGTAGGAAGTATCTCGAGACAATTACCCACACATTAATGTGACACATAATGTTGTTGTGAGGAAGGGTTAAACTGGGCGCGTGTGGCGCAGTGGTCAGAGGCGCCCTGCAGTACACGTGCCATCAATTCCCGCTTGCCTGGGTCACCAAACCTTCTGTCCACTCGGAGTCGGAAAATTGGTTCTAAACCTGTCTGGGAGGATTGCAGCACTGCCTGGTTACCGGTATGCCGTCGCGAGTCATTGTAAATGCTAGGTATGTGCTCATTCAACTACAACGATGGCTAATGAAGTCGAATGCATGGCGCACCCTTAAGGGATCAACACCGAGAGGTTTATCCTTTTTACCATTTTAATCATGTTTATACATACGTGCCTATGTATGCTTGTGCATATACCGATTTTCCTTCTGTTTGATTCGGCCTTAAGCGTGGAGTGGGCTGATTGAGTACACGAGCTTTTAAAAATTTCCTTCAGCTATCCGATTAATGTTTACATCTATGCCGTTAAAGTACCGACAAACTAACTACTGACCCACACAATCGTAACGTCGGTTTGCGTAGTGGTTCATGGCTATGTTCTCGCCAAAAATGGTTTAAAAAAACTTTTTCGCTTGCGAGAAATGTAGCGCTTTTGGTGTTTCTCATCGCCACGGAACCCACTGCACTGGTGTCTCGCTTGATGTGAACTGATGAAATTGTAAGTTTGATTGTTTAGGAGGACGATGTTAAACAGTTTACTAAAAGACCTCCTGTAAATCGTCTCCATCCTGAACGGGTTCAGAAGGTGACTTGATATTGGTAGTATTTCACACGTGACTAGTAATTGTCCATCTCTTGCAGGTTCATAAATTGATATCTGGCGTTCCTGTAAGGGAGCAAACTGATAAGTTGTACGCAGGAAAGGAGGACTCCGGAGTGTGTTGTAATTGTTTAAAAGTCCAAATATTGAATGTCGTCAAAACACAATACCTTCATGTTTTGCATTACCGTAATCTTGCAGGCCCATTACATGGCTCAGAAAATACCGAAGAATGATATTGTGGAGATGGAAAGAAAATTGGGGCATTCTGACATGGGAGTGCTTTGTAATAAGAAAGAGCATATAAGTAGTCAGGATGTGAAAGTATGAGTTTGTTTCGTCCGTTAAGAAGTGTTCATAGCTTTATCAAACTTCTTGTTTGTTTCTTTATCTTAGATTATTCGTGAGAATGCCGCATATGCGAGGAAAGAGGTGGAAAGTGGTTTCTCGAGAGCCCAAGAGTCGGACAGGTTCAAGGTTGCCATTCTAACTCATATCCTTATGGAAAGTTACAAGAAGAATTTTTAAAAGCTTCAGAAATGATCAAACTTTTTTATCTAGGATTACGACATTAAAATAGCGAAGTGTAATGATATTCTGAAGAAACGGGACCTCACCGGTGTTGATCCCTTTGGAAAGTGGCGTTATTCTTCTGATATTTCACCGTCTTCAATGGTAAGAGCTTTCAATATAAGTTAGTTCTTAGTAGCAGTTAAAAATTCTAGTTCTCCTCATTCCCTTATTTGACGTTTGACATTTTTTGTAATATGTTGAATAGTCTGTAGATGCAATTATATATTTCAGAGTAGTTCACCAAAGTCAATTGCTCCTGTTCCTCCAGTAAAAACAAAGTCGGTCGTGAAAGACCGTAATGGAGTCGTGATAAGGGTTATGTTCTTTTCCTGGAATTTCTGTGTCCCTAAAATCATCCAGATTTGTTTTCAGCCAGTTGCTCCCATACATCCTGAACGACGTATCTCTGCACCTGTAATGCCGACGTTAAGTGACAGTTTTAACATAAAACGTCAGGAGACGTGCCACTTATGTGAAAAGGTTTATATTATTTTATGTATGTGTGTGTCGTTTTTTAAAATAATACGAACCGTTTTAAAGGTTGTGTACTTGGCTGAACGTATGCAAGTAGAGTCGATGTTTGTCCACAAGAATTGTTTCCGATGCGCATATTGTAACCAGCCATTGCGTCTAGGAGAATATGGAAAGGACAAGGATCTCGAGGACCATTGTCCAAAAAGGTCAGGTTTCTGATTTAAAAGTGGCATTTTTACGTTATCGTAGTTTTTCCTTTTGGCTCCTCACGCTTAGAGGTAACGGGTTGAATAGGCGTTTATGAGGCGAACATGAAATAGGGAAACGGAGCTTCTTAAATGTATAAAACCTCAACTGCAAATTTCCTGTGCTTTCTCTATTCCTTTGTACAGATTGTGATCTAAAGGACTGCATTTGTTTGATGACATGGTGCGAAAGAAATATTAACGGGGTCTAATGAGTCATTTTTGAGTGTGACTGAGAACAATTCAAATATGGGCCAAATTTGGTAACGGTAGGCGGGTCTTTCTAGTCCTGTCGTTTTGAAACTTTAAGAATGACTTCTGTTCTTTACTGCTGACATATTCTTAATTCATTAGTTGGTACACGCTAAAACACTCAGGGTAGCATTGGTATTTGTGCGGTCAACTTAACCTTTCAGGTTCTGAGGAAGGCGAAATCCGCCGAAACGTCAGCTTGTTCATAAATGCAAAAAACACCTCGTGTGTGCTCAACAAGAATATAAAGAATTGCTACTTAGATCTCTTTTTGATTCTTGTGCTTCAGGCTATTTTGTAGAACGCATTTGCGTGTGCCGTTGAAAGACAAGATCGCACGAATTGAACGCGAACAACGAATACTGAAGAAGACCTCCAGTCGCGACCAAGACTTGCGGTTGGATACTACTGAAGTACCAGAAACTGGTGACCGGATATCAGTAGGGCATGTTTTAGGAATTTGTGGTTCCCATCTGTTTAGTGTATTATTTTGTTAAATAGGTATTTTAGAGATCCGTTGTCGCATTGTTCTGTGACGTTGAGTTTCTTCTCTCCCGAGCAACTTCGAGATAGCACTGTGCGACGTATTCGCGATTGTAACACGGTAATTAGTGTCTGTGGGAATTCTTACCTACTTACTTACTTGAATACTTGGATGACCCGTCTTCAGTGGTTGTGCGGGTACCAGTACAATTTCCATTTGTGGAAGTTTTCCTGGTTTAGCCATTGTGGTTTCCTGGAGTCTCGAGATCAGCCCGGCTAAAGTCTGTCCCAGGTCGTCACCACCACAGGCAGTCGCCGCATTTGTTGAGCTAGGAGAGATTTTCCATCATGCAACTAGTTTGACGCCAGGACGGTGGTAGATTATGGTATTGGTTTTCCCTTAGCTAGGCTTCCCGATGGAAATTTCTGATTCATTCTCAACTTGGAGAGATGAGCTCTCCACTGTACATCGTAGCCCGACACCGGAACACATCCCAGCCACGATGAGCCGGTAAACCGTTGAGGGGTAGAAATTCGTATCCGTTTATAATTCTGTTTTATCTTAAAAGGGGAAACTAATGTAAGAATTTTAATTTCAAAAAAAATTATGTCTCTGTTATTGCTGTAGCTGATCATTTCTTTAAAAACCTGCTGTTCAGGCAAGGTCTATTTCGCCTGTTTCTGAAATAACGAGTATTGATGATCGTACACCTGAGAGAGCAGAATTCAGGAACCACACTAGGAAGACTAGTAGAATTGTATGTAATGTTTGGTCGAAATGTCGTACTTTTGATTGGCTTTTGATTTGGTATTTTTCTATTATTAACAATTTTGAATTTTTAGGAACTGACGGAGGAACCAGATCGTGAACTAGGT